TAAAGGAAGTGAGAGAAAAACATTCTATAGTTAATTTATGTAATAGGACGAAAGAGAGCAAACATACGAAAGGGTTCTCGTGTGACAAGAGGAAAGATCTCAATCAAGCGTGTGGGTCATCATTAAAATCAAGATTGTAAGAGCTATCTATACAACTGTGTCATTCCAGTCTGTTATCGAGATCAGGACATGAGAGCTCTAGAAAGGAAGGTCTGCTCATTCTCTAATGAATGACACTGCAAAACATCTTGCATTTCGTCAAATAAAGTCTTGCTGCCTAAGACATCCGGTATCACGACTCAGAACGAGCGCAAGTAGGAGACCCTATATTACAGCGGGGAAGAGATGCACACCAAGCCACGATCGAACTTGAGCGCTAGTTCCAGTGACGCCTCCGTGGTGCACGCAAGTAGAGCGAGATGAGGCGGAGGCGAGGTCAATAGTATGGAGCACACAAACAACAAACAAAAGGAAGCTATATAACCTTGGTTCTTATTGGTCGAGGACATACGGCGTGCAAACAACCCAGACGGGGAACCTTAGTGATGTTCAACTACAACTAAACAGCCGGAGTTTAACAAATCCCCACTTGCTTTACTCTAACACTACGATTAGCAGAACTCCTGTGTCTTTCCTTGGGAATCATGCACAACAGTGATACCTTGGTGATGTCCTATGTTGATTATCGAGATGTGGTGTAAGGATGGGAGGAAGAGGCATATCGAGACATAGGTTCTTATAGGCGGATTTTGCGAGAACATGCAGTCCGGATAGTCAAGGAAGAGAGGTATATAGAATACGTATTCTACTTTCATGGTTGTGACGGTAAGCTGCGTGACACATGCTCATTCCTAGAGACAGTGGAGCAGGCTCAGATAAGACTCAAGTGAGCACAAAGATACTGAAGTTTTTTCTGTCAACATTTCAAGTTTTTGACGACATCCGACTATCGACAGACTCATCAGCATTTTATCCCTATGTGATCAGTGTTCGAAGGTGTATTAACCCTGCATCATTTGACCATCTATCATTTAGCACTCAGCCGACATTCAAGCAGACATTCAATTATCCACCAATCAAAATTCAGCCACCTGAGTTACTCGAAACTTTCAGCCTGACAGAGATCAGCATCAACCAGAAGTACTCTCTACTCGAGCCTTTGGATCGTTTTCAACATCTACATTGCACATGAGTACAATTTAGTCTTATCCCGTTAGTGAGCTGGTCCTGGCCAACCTCAATCAGATCGCCCTCAAGGATGCCTTCCGGTATCGGTATGGTAGTGCAACTGGTTTCAAGCGAGATGAACTATCAATCTTTGTGGTTCTCATTGAGTTCGCCGAGGGGACCATTCATGACCTGAGACCCTATGTAAAGAAAAGGAAAGAGGTCCATGAGAACTTTGATTTAGTCTGGATTGCAGCAGCCGGGTACCTCGAGGGGAGAGAAAAAAAACTTGATAAGGGTGGGACAAAGCTGATCCGTAGCTTCGGGCCGAGACTCTACTCTGACTATCCCAGATCTCCAGTTCCCTTCCTTCTCACAGACGGTTCTTGTTGGGGAGACTTGGTAGAACTAGCCAAGATGTACATCTCTCATGCGGTGATTGATTATGATGCATTGACAGAACCATCAGAGTTTAAGCACCTCAGACGAGGGATCTTCTCTCAACCATATCTTCCTACTTTATGGGAGGAGTTCTATGCTATGGTCGACTTTCGTATCATGGGACTTGGCCAGAAGTGCTCGGAACTCGTAGGGTTCAGGTGGCTCTACATACAGCGACCACAGCCTCAGAGAGTACTGAGACATGGCAGAGAGCCCAAACGACAGACAACAAAATGAGAGATTGAGTGTGAGGATTCAGAGGGATGAGTGAGGACTCTTGACTGGTGTTGGCCATGCTCTCTACACGTGTACTTTTTAAGATTTTTATGAGTTCTCATTCTTCCCTCATTTATCTTGTCTTTGCCCGAGTCAGTCAGTCTTGCTTCTTGCATTGTCATTGCTGATGACAACATTTCTCTGATGATTCTGTCACAGTTATCAAAATTAGCAAACTGACAAAACCGATGCGTGAATGACATATTAGAATCCTATGATTATTTACTACATGATTCTTTGTTGTTCTGAATCCAAATAAAAGATTCCTAAGACTGGGGACCGACGAAGACCGCAATTGAAGGGTCTCGCTCGAAGCGGGACGCACACAACAGGAAGGGATTTGCTTTAATTAATTAATTTATTTTATTTATTGCAATCATCTCCAAAATCTTGCGTGACAGCTTGTTGGCTTTCTGGTCGCCGGAAGAGGCCCAACTAGAAAAAAGTGCGACAACGTTTGCGGTAATCAATGGAGGGTGCACAACACCCGTCACAGGTCTGGTTTGGCTTGCATTGGTCCTTAAGATGCGCTCTGGACAACGCTTCAACGTTCCCTCGTCAAAGCTTGAGTCTTGCATTGTCCGCGAGTCACTTCCGCCGCCATGGCCACTTTGCTAGATGAGGACTGTCCTAGACACATCCATGGTGCTTGATGGAGACATGCAAATCGAAAGGAAGGCGGCTTCCTCCGTGCACATTGGCCAGCAGTGCGTACGTCGGGCCGAAACCCTCGCCCCGTTCACGAACTCTCGCAGGTGTGTGGTAAGAAGTCTGAGTCGACCCCCATGTGAGATCGAGGGTCGACGGAGGCGGCACCCATGTCAAGTCATCACGCAACGACTGCTGGCGAGGGGGCATATGCGAATAGAGAGCAGGATCAAACTTGTGGCGCACTCCGTGCTCCGCTTGACTCCCCCCTCCTTAGTCCCCCTGCCCATCCCATAACCGTGCGGCCCCCTACCATATTTATCCCCCATGCCTCTGCTCGCCGAAGCACCCTGCCAAAACCTCTTCGAAGCCTCCGTCCTTCCTGGTCGGCTGACATCACTGCCAGTTGCCAGACATGGAGGATGATGACAAGTACCAATGCAGCACTGACCAGCTGCCAGGCGTGGATGATGATGACAAGTACCAACGCCCCAACTAGAAAAATGAGCAGAGTTGTCTTCCTCACCATGTCAGTCATGCGCTCCTTCAGTAAAGCAAACAAATGGAGGTAGCACGTTTCGAACTGGACGAAGCGTGCAAGGCAACGGATTGCAAATTTAGAGGACGCGCACATGACGCCTGCAGAGGAGGGCTGGCAGGAAGTATGGCGCCACCGATATCCCGCGTTCGAATTCAAACGTTGCCACCAACGTCCATTTCACCTGCCTTCACACGAACTTGAAGTCCTACAACGGTCGCATCCACGCCCCCAAGGAAACAACCCCGTGGGAGAAATGCGGGGGCACATGCGGGGGACCGCATGGCCGTTGGAGGTTGCCGCGGGACAGATGTCCCACGGTCTACCGGACAACACCGTCGTTGGACCAGAAACGGTAGTGAAACACCTGAGAAAACAAATAAATAAATTAACATATTGGGCACATGCAGGGGACCGCATGGCCGCTGGAGGTCGCCGCAGGACTGATGTCCCGCGGTCTAACGGACAACACCGCCGTTGGACCAAAAACGGTAGCGAAACTCCTGAGAAAAAAAAAAAAAAATCATTTTTCCCACGGTCATCCTTACGGTAAGGGCCATTAACGCTGGGGAGTCCTTACTTTTGTAGGGCCCGCAGTTACACCCACGAATGTGAAAACAATTATGACTTTTTTTTTTTCGTGATCAGCGAGGGGCGGAACAATGAAAACCTTACATATTAAGGATTCTCTAATCACCACGTGGAAATACTGGTGGTGTCGAACGAGGCCCTAGTAGTGACCAGTTTGTCTGACATTACTATATTAATCCAAGTTGGTTCAAACTACCATAATTTCCTGACTTCCGTACATGTTAGGAAGCAGTGGATCATTGTTAACTGTGTTTTCGTTAAAAGTGAAATTGTTTTCGTGTTCACTTTTTATTTTAATTGTAAAATGACACAAAGAACTGAGGGAAAAATAAGCAAACAACGAGAAAACAATGGTTATACATGAAAGCTGTTGAAGAAAATTAAACACAAATTTTCACCTCGAATGTTCACACGTACACAAACTGCAAAAATGTCACTCAAGGATTGGCAATCCACTCTGTAAACATGTCACTCAGTAAAACACGCCAACCTCATCAACAACTGATGAGAAGTCTAGGAAATGTCACTATACATTGTTAACATATTTTCAAAATTGCCTACAATACACATTTTCACCCGGAATGTTCACACTAAGTAAACATGTCAACCTCATTTTTCCAAACCTAGAACCTGAAATTCTCATCGACTTTCCTATCTAACCATGGACAAAATGTCAAATGCTATTCTAAGTCTCATATCAGAAATACTATCTTGTGAGAAACCGAACGGAGGGAAGTTACCTTTTGCAAGCAAAGATGCAAAACCTAACATAAAAACACCACAACTAGAAGAATCCTTTTGAGCAGGAATCCCATCTACTGATGTATCAAAGTAGGATATAGGCTCCTCCACATGATATTTTTCCCAAAGATTTTGTCGCCGAAACTCCGCTCTGAAAAAACCTGCCAAAAGTTCGAGGGCTGGACCGTAGTCAACACGATGGAGAGAGTCTACGAGGCAGAATTATACTCAGAGGGATCTATACTGACATAAGCTAAGGCCCAATGATTTCCGAAATGGAGAGGGATAATTAGGAAATCAAAATTGAAAAGATTTATGTCCTTTACCCATCTCGTCCCTTCGGAGTATGCGATTTCTACGGACAGAGTTTTTGACAATCTGGGAAAGAAAAAAAAAATTAGAGTGCGCACAGATAGAATGTTACAAGAACTTTCATCTTTTGCCACTTCTGCACGTGTCGAATCCACCTTCTTGATGTAGTCATTGGTGATCTGAACGGCTAGAAGGTACAAATTGACGACTTCATCATTTAACCATTCCCCATCTTTGGCGGCGAGCATGACGTCTTTCTTTTTCACGAGCTGACTGATCGTTCCCCGGCGTCTCGTCGCCACCGCTCCTCTGCACATTTCGATGTGATGGAGACGGGGTACGACTTCATTCTCGGCACTCCGTGGTCTCGTCGGTTCTGCAGCACCGAGGCCGATTGGGCGACCAACACTTTCGTTCTCAAAACAAAGTGTGGACAGACATCTCGCGTACCTTTCATAGGTACCGCCGCGACACCACGCCCCGATCCTCCTCCCCCGGATCCTTCTGTGCCCACACCATCTCCTTCTATCACTGTCACTTCGCCTCGGCAGTTCGCCCACTTCATCCGACAGGACGACGTCACCTTCTTTATGGTGAACGTGACGGATCTCTTACACTATGATCCACCCTGTCCCAACGCTGAGCTCATCCCTCTGGAGCCACATTCTCCTTCTATCTCCATGCCTCTCATCTCTACTTTCGTCCCTCCGCCGTCCGTCGAGTCCACCCTGCCGTCGTGCGCTGACGCTGACGCTGAGGAACTCGCACGATATACGGCTAACCTGGAGCCCACAGTTCGTGACCTCATTCGAGAGTACCACGACGTTTTCCCATCGTCGTTCTCGTATGCGGGCATCCCACCGATGCGTGACGTCGAGCACTCCATTCAGCTTGTGCCTGACTATCGTGTTCACCACCAGGCACCCTACAGACTCTCGATCCCCAAGGCCGCCGAACTCAAGCGTCAGCTTGAGGAGCTCATGGGAGTGGGTTTCATTAAACCCAGCAACTCCCCGTGGGGTGCACCCGTCCTTTTTGCTCGCAAAGCGGATGGAACTCTTCGTCTCTGCATCGACTACCGCAATCTTAACCCCTACACGGTTAAGAACAGCTACCCCATGCCTTGCTCCGATGAGCTGTTCGACCGCCTAGCAGGCAACCGCTTCTTTACGAAGATTGATCTTCGTAGCGGTTACCATCAGATCCGCGTCGCTGCAGTCGGCCAGCTGAAAACCGCGTTCCGATCACGCTTCGGCCACTACGAGTTCACGGTGATGTCATTCGGCCTCACCAATGCACCCGCTACCTTTCAGAGGGCGATGAACGACATCTTCAGGGACATCCTGGAGCAGTACGTTCTCGTCTACCTCGACGATATCCTGGTCTACAGCCGTACCCTTGAGGAGCACCTCAGATACCTCTGCGACTTCCTTGACCGCTTGTGCAGACATGGCTTCTACGCCAAGCTGAGCAAGTGCCGCTTTGCCCAGCACAATGTGGATTTCTCAGGACACTACGTGTCTGACCAGGGTCTCCACATGGACGACGCGAAGATCACTGCTATTGCGGAGTGGCCCGCCCCCACATCCGCCAAGCAGCTTCGCAGCTTCCTAGGCCTGACCAGCTACTATAGTAATTTCATCCGGGGATACACTAGGTATTCCTACGTCCTTACCTCCACCGTCCTCTGGAAGAACCCACCCTGGGCTTGGACACCCCTCCACAAGGACGCCTTCCTCGCCCCCAAGAAGGCGGTGATATGCGCACCGGTTCTTCACCTACCCGATTTTGATCGCCCTTTTATCCTTATCACCGATGCGTCAGACTTTGCCGTCGGAGCAGTGCTTTCCCAGGTCTTCCCCTCCTCTCCTGATTCCTTTCATCCTCGTATCCCTCGCTTCCCATCACCTACCCCTACCACTGCTTCCCGACTGACGCCTACTCGTCCAGCTACTGACGAGCCTTCTATTGACTATTCTCCTACCATCGTCGAGGACGCCACTGTCAAGTCTCGCTCAGGTGATTGTCCGATAGCCTTCTACTCCCGTCAGCTCCAGCCCGCCGAGATAAACTACACCGCTGATGAACGTGAGGTTCTCGCAGTAGTTTATGCCGCTCGGCACTGGCGTCACTACCTGCACGAGGCACCATTCACAGTGCGCACGGACAACTCTGTTGTCCAGGCTTTTCTGACAAAACCGAAGCTCACTCCTCAACAAGCTCGCTAGTGGCGCGACCTATCCGAGTTTAGTTTCACCACTGAGCACATCAAGGGTGAGACTAATCGGGTCGTAGATGCCTTATTCCAGCGCCCTGGCCACGACCAGGAGCAGATCCAGCTCTCTTCCATCTCGGTCACCACCGTCCACCACTCAGTGATCGACGAGTTTCGCACTCAGTACCGCCACTCCCCCGACTATCGCAACATCCACGCGACCCGTCGGAATGGCAAGACCGTCCCGAACTACTCTCTCGAGGACAACGATCTCGTGTACTTGCACGGTTCACAGGGCACAAGAGAGCCCCGTATTTGCATTCCCTCCACTGGATAGCTACGTGTCCGCGCAGTAGCAGAGTTCCATGACCAGGCAGCCGCCGTTCATATGGGCTTCCACAAGACGTTGGCTCATGTGAGCCGCCTGTACGTCTGGCTGAAGCGCAAGGACTTTGTGAAGGACTACGTTGCAGAGTGTCCCACCTGTCAGGAGGTGAATAGTGTGAACCACTTGCCTTATGGTTTGCTCCAGCCTCTTCCTATCCCTGAGGGTCGTTGGCAGTCCATCTCGATGGACTTTATCGGTCCCCTTCGTCCTCCGACCCCTCGCGGTCATGATGCTATCCTGGTCGTCGTCGACCACTTCACGAAGCGTGCACGCTTTGTTCCGTGTCGCTATGCCATCAGTGCACGTGAGGTTGTCGACATCGTGTTTGACCGAGTCGTGCGTGACCACGGCTTACCTCTTAGCATCATATCTGACCGTGACCCGCGTTTTACTAGCCGATTCTGGCGACGACTCCACGAGGTGTACAACACTCAACTCCACTTCTCCTCGTCTTACCATCCTCAGACTGATGGTCAGACCGAGATTACGAACAGGACTCTCGGAGATATTCTCCGAAAGATTGTTCGTGACGACCAGCAGTGGGATCTCCATCTTGCCCACGCGGAGATAGCCTACAACCACGCCGTCTCGCCAGCCACGGGGATGTCGCCTTACTATTGCGATCTCGGCTATCACCCGCGTGTTCCCGCGGACTTCCTTCGACCATCCCAGCTGCACCCCGACACGAGTTGTCCCGCGCTGGATGATTGGGTTGCACACATGACGTCGAGCACATAGCCGCTTCCCAGACTCGCATGGCAGCACGTGCGAACCGATCGAGGATGGATCATACATTCAAAGTCGGTGATGATGTGCTAATGGACGCTCGCCACTTACAGCTCGAAGCGGACACGCTTCGCAAGTTTCGGCGTCTTTTCTTTGGCCCATGCCGCATTCTCCAGGCCGTCGGTTCTGATACGGCATCTAGCCTGGTCAGCTTTCATGTGAAGCTGCCCGACTACCTACGCCAAGCTCGTATGCACGATGTCTACCACGTCTCGTTACTGCGTCCTTACCGCAGACCGTCTGACCGTTTCGCTGGACGACTATACGAGCGCCCTCCACCCACCATGGTGGACGACCACGAGGAGTTCCTCGTTTCAGACATCATTGGTCGCCGAGTCATCGACGACAATCCTCCCCACGTCGAGTATCTCGTACGTTGGAAGGGTTACCCTGATGAGGAGGCTACCTGGGAGCCCCTCGAGCACTTGCAGCACGCTCGCATGTTGGTGCGTGCCTATGACCGTGCTCGTCGTGCTGGGTTCACTTCTCCTCCTCAGCCCACTGACCCCCCTCCTTCTCCCCCGGTTGAGAAGACCGCTGAAGTCGAGCCTGCTCCATCTGAGGCAGACCTTCAGCAGCAGCCGGATGCTTCTGAGCGTCCATAGCGCACTCGTCGTCGTCCTGCTCGATACGACGATTGACTCTAACTTACCTTCCCACGTCCTTGACTTCTCAGTACTCCATCCACTCCAGTCTTGCGATTTCAGCTCGTCGACTTTGCGGCTCTTCCTCGACGACATTCCAGACTTCTCATCGTGGACGTCATCGGCAGCTTCATGGACTTCGTCACGATCAGCTCTGCCTACTTCAGACGTCGCCACTCTCTTACCACTTTACCCTGTACAGTACCCT